GCTGCAACCACACACAGGCTGACCAGGGCCGCACGACGCACGACGCACGACGACGCACGCAGTGCGCACGCACAGCTCACCTTGTTTGTCCGGAGTGCCGGTGGGGTCCGACCGCTGCCGCTCGACCCCGGCTCGCGCCGCTGCTGGTGGCGAGTGATCCGGTCCTGGAGACTCGCACTCATTTTCACCGTCTACTTCAAACAGAACCTCTTCAGACCTGTATGCAATGTGTAGCTTCCTATTATTTAAATTAAAGGCATGCGCACGAAACATATTATCGTAAACTACGTACAGACAGTTCGACCCACATTGTCATGAAAATGTTATTCATAATTAATCTTACCATCCGTGGAGCTGTGCCAACTGGATCACCAACAACTACTTTACAACTACAAAGCTACCTTTTTTTAAGGGGGACAAATCATCGAATTACTTCTGGGGGAGTATCAGACTCTTACTGACTAAAAACCACCCTATTCCTACTCCTGCACTTCGAGCCGGAGCCCCGGCAACCCGTTAAGTTCTCCGTGGCTCCGTATCGGCATCAGCCCTATTGGGCCCCATCCGTGGTGGTCTGATGGCTCCCTGAGGCGCGCGCGGAACACGACGCGCCGTACGCTCGCGTCTGGTTCTGGTCAGGCGGCGTTGTGAGGAGGCAGCGCTCCGCTGCCTCATGAGCCCCGCCTCCTCCTTAGCTAGCATGACTGCTTCGCAAAAGGAGGAGACGGTACTGTACTTAAGTTAATCACATGAAATAAAATGAAATGAAATCGTTTATTTGTAAACATAGGTTGTATAATGTTGTTTGAATGATTGACATACAGTGCAATACAGCGAGTCCGTCTATGTTTTGCCTTGAAGCATACAAATTCATAAAAGTTAAAGTCAATTAGTAAATAGATTAATATAAATTCAGAAAACAAAAATACATTAATAGTCATTTAATTATCTACACAGGAATAAAATATTTATAATCACACTTTAAACTATTCGGAGGCGTTTCTGCTAGCCCTAAAATCATACTAATATTTTTTTTATATAATTATATTTGATGGGCCTACGTTTGACCACTATCTCGCCTGGTGGTAAGCGATGATGCGGTCTACGATGGAGCACGTCGTCCCATACCTATTCACTCGGGCCTTGAAGACACCCTGATTATACCCTTCAGGAAATACAGACTCTGGCAAAGAATTCTACTCCTTAGCAGTACGCACAAGTGGTAATCGGAAATGTTTGATTCTGACTATTTTACAGTAATATGTAAACCAAAACTATTTTTTATCACAATTCCTCAAGGGCTGTCTCAGCCCAGACCGACCCAACATGTTTATTTTGTGTTCTTGAGGTTTCCTTTCACACTGGCAAATTATGTCGGAAGAGTCATGAGCACAAAACTTCAATTGACCACGAAACGGAAGTAGATGGCGCACCTTGACAGAATCTAGTGAAGAGAAATAACATCCACTGAAGAGGAGGGAGACCTCGTGACATTATTAACCGACGTCAAAAAAGGAGGTTCTCCGTTTGACCTGTATGTATATTTGTGTGCGATTACCTCGCAATTGGCTGAACCAATTCTAATGCAGTTTTCAGAAAAGTGTTTGCTACACTGAGGAGGAAGCTTCGTATACTTATTAATTAAAATAATTAATCGACTTCAAAAAAAAATCTGTTTTTTTTTTAAACGTTATTTATAAAAAGAATATTGCTGTTTCGTTCGTAGGCGCACTTAAATCCAAAAAAATCATTTGTAATATGAGTACAAGTTAAGTGAAAGAATTAAAGTAAAATGGCAACTTACTGCAATGGGGGCGGCGTGGGCAGTGGCTTATCGAACCCGTCCTTGCCCAGCAGCCAGTACGTGTGCATGGCGCCCTTCCCCTTGACCATGGTGAGGCCGCGCGACCGCAGCCGGTAGCCGCCCGCCGCCGTCAGCCGCTCCGCCGTCGTGGCCGACACCTGGATGCGCCACGCCGCGCCTGCAACAACCACACCGTCACCGAGGCGCCGAGCGCAGCGGGGCGCGCGGGGTGCGGGCGGTGACGGACCAGTGGATTCCATGCGCGAGGCCGTGTTGACGGTGTCGCCGAAGAGACAGTAACGTGGCATGGTGAGGCCCACGACGGCGGCGCAGCACGGGCCGGTGTGCAGGCCAATGCGCAGGTGTAGCGGCGTGTCGGGCAGGTGGCGCAGGCGGAAGCGGCCCGCCAGGTGCAGCAGGTGCAGCGCCATGGTGGCCACGGCCTCCGCGTGGTCGCGCGTGCGCACGGGCAGGCCGCCCACCACCATGTACGCGTCGCCGATGGTCTCCACCTGCATACGTTGGGCCTCACTAATACACTCGTAAAGGGAAAGGGGTAGAATTACTTTTAATTAAACTGTCAAACTCCAAGCGGTCACCGGTGACCGCAACCTATTGTTCTATAATTGTGTCTACAAAACCGGTACTCGACGAGTTAATTGTAGCTAAGCAAAAAAGTGAATAAAGCAGTGAGAGATAAGTTCGCTTTATAACCGTACACTAATAATAATAATAATTGCGTGTGAGTAGTAGGAGCACCTTGTAGACGCGGTACTGCTCGATGGCGGCGTCGAAAGTGGTGTAGAGATCATTGAGTAAGTCCACCACCTGCACCGGCGTTGAGCGCGCTGCCAGCGCCGTGAAGCCCACAATGTCACTGAAGTAGATGGACACCTCAGAGAACTCCTCCGGCTCCACGCGCGACCCCAGCAATAGGCGCTCAGCCACTGACCTGCCGCGAGGAATCATACATACGTCGGTACACACTCGGTCACGACACATACACACTCACCGCGACACCTGCTTCGCTTACCTAGGTAGCATCCTATTTAGTAATTGTTCGGTCTTCTTCTTCTCCATATCGAGCTGCTCGGTCCGTTCCTTGATCAGTTCTTCTAGATTATTACTATATTTCTCCAACATTTCAAACATGGAATCGACTATGTTAACCTTTCTGAAAACGAAAACAGTATGTATAGTATCCTCACATAATGCAGATGTTTATGTATCCTTGTAGCAGGCACAAGTGTCCAAGTGGAGTACCTGCCGCGGTGCAGATGTCGAAAGATGTCGTGCAGGCGATGGAAGTCAGGGCGGAGGTCGGGCGCCTCGCTCCAGCACTGGCGCATGACACTGACGGCGTCTGGCGGCGCTGCGCCCATGGACACGGAGGGCCGAATCAGCGGCGGTGGCCGGGACACCTTCTCCACGATCTCTGCAAACAGTGGTAGTACTGTCAGCATGACGCCTGTCCGTCCGGGCAAGGAATGGGTCGGCCGCTACCTTCGGGCGTGAGAGCCAGCATGCAGTATGGCTCGCCGCGCACGATGACCTCCTGCATGATGATAGCAAATGCGAACACGTCACCGGGCTGGGAGCCGCGACCTGCGCCGTTGCTCTCGCGCAGGAGCTCCGGGGCCGTCCAAAGAAGATCTGAACATTATAATGTCACGAGTAGCTCATCTTGGTGAACACAGAAACTTTTAAATGCTACGCAGCAGGCTCCCAGGACACATCCGGAAGGTGGAAGCAGCACTGAAATCTAGGTATCTGTTGTTATTTAAAAAGATAAGAAAAAAGTAACACACATTAGTTATACGTGAAGAGTGTGTGAGTGATGTAAGAAGTGACCAACGATAAAAATAAATATGATCTGTTGGAATGTTCGCACGCACCTCGCGCGGAGCGGTGCGGGTGCGGCAGGGCTTGCGCGTGGAAGAATGCGGGCAGGCCGTAGTCCGTAACTCGCAGCACCCAGCGCGAGTCCACCACACAGTTTCGCGACGTGAGTCGGCCGTGCAAGCGCAGTGGAGACGCGTGCAAATAGCGCATGCCTTTCACCAGGTCCGTGAGCAGCGACAGGCGGAACGTCCAGTCTAGCTTGATGTCGTCCGCCACCAGTACGTCTTCCAGAGAGCCGCGCCCGCACTGGTCGAATACTAGAGCCGGCCTCAGCTCACACAGACACCCTGAAACCGCATGCGCCATGCCCACTTACTACTTCGTTTTACTTATAGTTACGTAAATATCGAAGGATAAGTAAATTCCTGAAGAAGTTTTTTGTGTTTAATAACTTACCAATGAAAGGATTTAGGTTTTCGTGACGCAGGTTCTGCATCACGAGCAACACGTCTGTCGCTTTTCGTTTCAGTTCCAGTCCCGCTGTCGCCGGTAAGTACTTGACGTGCACCACGTCCCCCTGAGAAGCGCAGCACAGGATATGGCTGGCAGATAGTAACAAAGACAAAGTACAAGGTTGACGAAGTGGAGCTGTACCTAAAGTACCTTGTATCGTATGCGACGGTCGACGGCAACGCGGTTGACGCTGCACGTAGACGAAGGCGCGGAAGGCGCACGAGGCGCGACGCAAGGCGGTTGCTTGAGTAGATCAGGGCGCTCGAGCTCTGGGCCACCAAACTCGTGCAACTGCTGCAGCCAACATGAAAGCATGGTCTCCATTCCCTCACCCACACGACGCCGCTCGTCCACCGGGAAACTAAAGTCGGACGGAGTAAGTACGGCGTCACGGCGCCGGCGCCGGCGACGGCGGCGAGTAGCTAACCAGCGCAATAGCAGCGCAGTACTAGCGGCCAGAGCCAGCGCACCACAGGCCGCCACCGCCGACAACACCGCGGCGCCGGTGGTCTCGCGGCCCGCGCCTGCTCCCCCCGCGGTCCCTGCAGCTCCCGCCGAGCTCCAGCTATCCAGGGCCACCGTCACGTTCACAAGCTGCACGGAGTTTATTTGTTCGTACGACAGCCCTAGGGACCGAGACACCGTAGTGGCCAGCACAGCTGCATGAGTCCAATGTGGAGATGTTATGTTCTGCTTTTCATATAAATGAAAATTTATATTTATGTCTTCTTTTTGTGCTTTTCTGGCAATCGAATCAATTTTAATAGCTTTGAGTAGTTCATCATAAATCATTGTTTCATCCGAATATGAGCGTTTTGTTAACTGGTCATCGGTAAGGAGCAACAAGCGACGAAAGAAGGAGATTTGGATTTGAGGCAAATAAGATTGAACTCGATCCGTGTCACGGTCCGGTACGGACCCCCCTGTGGACACACGCTGCCACTTTTCGAGCTCGATCTCAGTAACTGAGTGCTTACTTTCCAGCACCTGTTGTTTGATTAAGGACCTTTCTCCATTTTCTTTCGATCTTAGCTGAACGGAGTCAGTATCGATTTTACGATGGCCTGTATATTTTATTACTGACTGATTGAACAATCTTGTTTCTGTTGAAATGTTCTCTAGCTTATTTGAAGACAGATTTGTACTGAGATCGTTCATCGTTATCTCTTCAGACTGCGAATGTCTTTTACTTCTCGTTTTCAAGAATTCGCTTAAAACTAAAGTGATATTGCTTGTTCGCGTCGCATTATTAACATCTTTAATCGTAGTGCGTCGCGTCTCGGTGACAGTACGTGATGCGCTGCCACACTCCTCCACGTGTACCAACAACAGCGCCGCGGGGCCTACTCCGTCAGCCGCATGAGTCACTGCAGCTGCCGCCGGTGTCCCAGTACCATGATCGGTACATAGGATTACAACTAAAACAACATAATACACTGTAGGATATTCTAGTGGCCATGCTGGCCGGTTACGAGAATTATAAATTGTTATGTTTATGTTTCAATGATATCTAACCATCGGGTTGACGCTCTAGTTCTTCTGGTGACAGTTTGGATCGACGCACGGCGAGGCCGGCGACGGCTAGCGCGCGCGCCACCTCCAACAGCGCGGCCTCGCACTCGGATGTGGGCGCCGCCGGCGGCACTAGTGCTAGCCTCCAGCGCAGGCGCGCTGCCAGCCGCGCAACCGCCACGCCGCGCGCTTCCGCGACCGCGCAGCGCGTCATCACCGGTCGCTGCAGCGCGCGCGCCGCCGCGCCCAGCGCGCCACATACATGGGCACCGAGGCAGCCTGAGCTCACCACTGAGCCGCCCTCGCTCAGCGCCGCGAGCGCTTGCTTCGTCATCGAAGCTCTCCATTCGGGTCCACAGGTATCTGACCGAGAACACTCGAATGAATACATTACTGAGAGGTAACGACAGCGACAGGGCTCTGGATGAACACTTCTTTCACCTCACCTTCATAGTTTATGAGATGCACGCGGTACTGGGTGAACATAAAGCGCGCTGGTTCATAGTCGAATAATCGACTCTCGTCGAAGGCGGTGAGGAGTGGCCCGTTGCAGGCAGCTCGTAGCAATAGCGCGAGCGGCGGTAGGGTTGCGGGGGGCGCTGAACTCGCAGCCGCGGTGGTGGAGAGGGCGGCCAGTAGCGGCAGGAGCGCTCGCATGGCGCGCCCTCACGTGACGTCCGCCATGCGGCCGCTGCCGAGCGCTCGTCCGCTCCGCTGGCTCGCTCGGCTGGCTGCACAGGATCAAACGATACCTCGCCAGTCGCCCCGTACCTGATACGGTTATAAAATAGATCGATAACATCTTACGCTACCAAAACATAATAATAACATAAATAAGTAGGTGATAGGTTCTTATTATAAGCAATGGTGTAATGTTGCAAGGTAGTCTCGTAATCAGTGTAAGTTGTAAATCAAATTACAAACTGAAAATGGCAAACTCAGTCCCTCTCTAGGAACATAACAGTCAGTAAACAAACCACCATTTAATTATTATTATTAAACGATTTTATTTAGCTTGCCCCATTAGTTTGTTTGGGGCTTGGGGCAAAAGTACTTAATTAGAATTTTCCTGACGATAAATCGATTTCATATGCGGTAGGTACACTCTTGATGGCTATACAATAATATTATATTGTTAGAAATCAGAAGCAGGTTGAATTTTTTAAAAAGGACAATTTATTACCTTAAAACTAAAATTAAAATTATTACACAATTATCCAAAAATTAATGACACAATCATCAAAAAGAACAAATTCTTAAATAAACAAAATGAAAACAATCTACCCTCGCTAAATATACAAAATTACAAAACAAAACCT